AGGAATGCCTGACCAAACAAGGTGAAACTTAAAGAGGGGAGTTTCCAAAGGCATTCTTCCAGGCCAAGAAAAAAGTTAATAGCTCATAAACTTTTTTTAAAATTAAATATTATTATAATTTTTAAATCTGTCTAGAGAGACATGGAGAGACATGGAAAGACAGACAGAAAGAGAGAGAGAGAGGAAGTGAAAAAGCAAGCTGCCATGTCTAGGGCTTGAACTGTGGTCGGCCATATGGGAGTCCAATGCCTCAACCATGCCATCTACTGGTCCCAGCTCATAGTGTTTTTAAGCACACTTTAAACCCAATAACTTCATTATGGGGCCCACTTACTTCTATTTGATAAAACTGTGTTCTCTGTACAGAGTCAATCGCTAACTGGCTCAAACCCTTAACCATTACTCCATTAATTTTTCCTATTTTTTTTTTTTTAATTGGCTGAGGGTGGGTGTGCTCACCAGAGAGAGGGAACAAAAGAAAGAACCTCCTGTGGGGAACAATCACACTGGAATACCTTCTCTTCCATTTCCCCATCCTATCAAGATTTGGGGCATGCACACACACATACCTGGTAAGTTTTTCAAGCCATAGGACTAGGATTCAAACTGCTGTCATTCATGTGAGAACCAGCTTACTTAACCACTAGGCCAGGGCCAGTCTTACTACTTTTCCCTAAGGGAAAGTGATTTATAACAATAAAGTTATTATTAAACTTTCAGTACAAAACCTTCTAAATAAAGGCATTCCCTTTTTTGCAGTTCCCATAGCAAATCTATGTATAAGAGATACTTTATGGAGACCAGCAGGAGGAGGTTAAGGTGTGGGATCCAACATGGCCGATCATGGTTTGAGTCTTGGGTTTAGAAGCTTGAAAATCATGCCAGGCACTTGTGTATGTGTGCTCCAAATCCTAAAGAGACTGGAGGAGAAGGGATTGTGGCATGGCCATCTCCACTTGGAAGGGGCGGGGGTGGTGGGGGTGTGATTTCTCACTTTGTCTCTCTATCTGGTTAGAGCATGGATCATAAAGCAAAAACTAAAAAGAGAGAGAGAGAGACAGACACTTCCTGAAAGATTTAAACTTTTTGGAGAGGGTCTTTTGGTTTTAATTTTTATTTATTATTTTTTTAAAAAGAGAGATCTTTGCTGTAGGGTGTGTGCACTCGCTGGAAAGAGAGACAGAAAGCGAGACATTACCCCTTGGGGGATGGCCTATTCTCTTCTCAGGATCTTAGACACACATGCACATGCACCAAGCATGAGTTTTAAGCCACCAGGTCCAGGAATCAAACTGCGGTTGACTATGTGGGAGTCCAGAAACATAATCATTAGGCCATATGATGGTCCCATATTAGTATTATTTTTAAAAATATGCTATAGGGCACATGCACTCACCAGAGACAGAGAAGGAAAGTGAGAAAGCAAGCCGCCAGATCAGAGACTCAAACTGCAGTTGGCCAAGTGGTAATCAACTGCTCAACTGCCACGCCACCTGCTGACCCCATTGGAGAGGGTTTTTTCTTTTTTTTTTCTGAGAGATTTTTGCTGTCGAGCACATGTGCGTGCTAGAGAGACAGAGAGAGAGAAAGCAAGAAATCACCCCCCAGGGGTATGGTCACACCACAATCCCTCTTGTTTTCTTCTCAGGATTTTGGACACCCAAGCACATGCACCTGGTGTGAGTTTTAAACTTCTGGGTCTAGGACTAGAACAATAGTAAACTATGTGGGAGTCCAGTGACATAACCATTATGCCATCTGCTGGCCCCTGGAGAGGGTTTTTGAGAGTTGACATTGACAACAAAAACTGTGTCTTCTTTTTTCATGTGTTAGCCTTACTACTTCCCTAGGTACCAGGTATCTTCTCAGTCATAAGAAATCTCCCATCAGCACCTCGTAAGGAAGGCCAGGGCACTTTGGGGCTCTTTGACCTCACTCTTGTGTGCACGGTGGGTAGCAGGACACGATGGGAGCTGCCCCATAGGAATAAAAGAAAGGCTAAAGAACCTGGAACAGCTCTACTGAGAATCTGAGAATCAGGGCACAAGTTGGCTAACTGTGCAGGTTGCTTTACGATCCCTGTGTCCAGCATCTGCAATTCAGACAGGCCTCTACTGCCAAAGCTCAGAGAAATGCCTAGTACACAAAAGCATGCTCTAGGGTTGCCCTCAGATAGGTATTAAATCTGAATGAAAAGGAAACTCAAGACTTCAGAAAGAACTTGGAAAAGCACACTTTACTACCCCAACAAGAGAGACATGTTATTGTTTTTTGTTGTTGTTGTTGTTAGAGGGTGCGTGTGTTCACTAGAGAGAGAGGGATAATAGAAAACACTCCCCATGGGAAATGGCAAGGAGGCAATCCCTTCTCCTCCATTTACCCCTCCTTTTGGGATTTTGGGCATGCATAAACACATGCCTGGCATGTTTCTCAAGCCACAGGGTTCTGGTCTTGAACCACACAGTTGGCCAATGTGAGATGCAGCTGCCTTAACCACCAGGCCACAGAGTCAGCCCAAGTATTTAATGGTGTCATTCTTATTTTATGAAAACCATCCAAAACAATTCATGGGATCACTGAGCTCCACAGAGACAGCGCCAGGATGAGTGAGAACCGGATGGGCACTGGGCAAGTCTGTGACTCAGAGCAAAAACAACAAAACATGGACAAAGGAGATCTTAAGAGGCTGATGGGCAAAATGTCATCTTATGCGAAAGAGTTAAAAGTCTCCCAAGTGCCTTAAAGATCGAAAGGATCAACTCAGTGTCTCTGTGTCTCTCAGGCACTGGGTTGATTCAGTATTACACGGACTCCTTAATGGGGAGACTCACTAACACTCTCAGCATACCCAGAATCCCAGTAGGAGAATGGAGAAGGGACTGCAGTATAGGTATCTGTGGGTGGGTGGAGGATGATTTTTCATTTTCCCTCTGGCTTTTTCTGTCTCTCTTGGCAAGCAAGCACATGTGCCCTCTGACAAAAACCTAAAAATCAAACAAACAAACAAAAAAACACCAAAACAACCCAGAACAAAAAATCTCTCAGGTGCTTCAAACATTCTTTCATCTCCTCCCTTTTTCTTTCCTAGTTGGCCCCTCCTTGACCTCACTGCAGACTGGCTGATTTTTGTTTTTCTATCTACAGATACAGAAATTGAGTCTCTTGCTGACTCGAAAACACCAACAAACATTCAGATACATTGTGGATGAAAGTGAATAGACATGACAACCAACGATAATGATGAAATAATCCAGAGATTGTGAAGGACTAAAAGGCATCCTGTCTCAGAATCATCCTAAGTAGCTAGTCATAAACTCTTTGGCTTTATTTTATTTTTATTTATATATATATATATTTGGCCATAGAGCCCCAGAGAGAGACAGACAGAAACAGAGAAAGGAAGTGAGAAATCACCCCACCCAGAGGTGATGGCCACATCACAATCCTTTCTTCTATATTTTCCTCTCAGGATTTTCTGCATGCACACACACATACACAGGCCCAGGCATGATATTCAAGTCACCAGGTCTGGGACTCAAACTGTCATTGCCTATGTAAGACTCCAGTGCCTTAAACACTATGCTACCTGCTCGACCCACTCCTTGTCTTTAAAACCCAGTATAAGTTCCTGTCACTCACCTTTCAGGGCTGATGCAAGTCTGCATCTAGCCTCTTCCTCCTTTTGAAATGTGAATAAATTATTTTCTAACTGCTTTCTCCCTGAGTCTGTGAATTACTTCATAGCCTATGCCTAAGGGCACCCTACCATACTGCAGAGCACCCTAACAATATGCATTCTTAGAGCAAACTTGCCCAAAGAAGCACAAGAAGCAGCACCCAGATGCTTCAGTCAACTTCTCAGAGTTTTCTAAGAGCGTTCAGAACGGTGGAAGACCACGTTTGCTAAAGAGAAAGAAAAAATTGGGACCAGCAGTTGGCGTAATGGCTATGTCACTGGAC